GTAAAAGGTGGCAACCCTACCCACACCAGATCAGACATCTGTCATATCACGCCCTTATATACACAGCCCTTCTTCCAACGTATGGGACACATTAGTCTGTATATATAAAATCGCCTAGAAAATTGAGTGTCGGGGTACTTGTTCAAATTTTCAGAAGTTAGGGGGTATTTGCTACTTAAAAGGTTGAGAAACACTGTTCTAGAACTCTGTATGATTCCCGGTTATTCTACAACTACATAGCTACAAAAGCCCTAGAAACAGGTTGTATGGAGTTGTTGAGAGGTTTAATTGTTTCTGGTTTTCAGTTTTTACTAGAAAATATCCACTGAAGCATCCTACCAAGTTCTTCACCCCTTAGTATAGAGGTGCACATTTCTGGGGTCAACAATACTCAGCTAAATGCCCAGTACACACAAGGCATGTCTACACAAGACACTACTGAGCAGTGGTTACTGCACATTTATTTAGTACTTGTCACGTAAACGATGTTTGCTGAAGCTACTCCACAGTAACTCTGGTTACTGAGCATTCATTTAGTACTTGCTTATACAAGTACTAAATAAATGTGCAGTAACTGGAGTTACTGCGCAGTAGCACCAGCAAACATTTTTTAAGTGATGCTACTGCGCAGTAGCCTAATAAAACTGCACAAGAGCGTATTAGCACTGTCCGTGCTGCAACGTGCTGCTGTGCAGTATTATTCAGCCACTGTGCAGTCAGCATCTCATGCAGACGTGCCCACAGACATCTATTTTCTCAGATTTTAAGTGATGCCAAGACTTGTGTTTTATTTTCTTTTAAAAAGCACGGGAAACTGGAAAAGAGAAAGAGAGAGGGAGAAAATAAGGGGTAAAATACTTCATAATATCCCAACATCAATGGTAAGAAACAAAGAACCCAAATAAATTCCCACTGGAATCAATAAATAAATCCCCAGTGACTTCAGAAGGGAGTCAGTCTACATTGATCATAAATAAGGAAATTCGTGAAGATAGTGTTTTACTGCATTTGCATTTCATGGCACCAGTATAAAACGTGCAATGTAGCTGAGTTAGGATTATTAAAGCAACTTTAACCATGAGAATTTTTGGGTTTTTTTTAACCATGAGATTTCCACCCCACCCCCTTAATGTAGCATTAAAAATAGTTTTGACATCTGCTCTCTTATTTTAAAAAACATTTTTACAATGTACAAAATATTCATGGGTATATGCACACACATGAAGGGAGGAGCACTAGATTAAGTTGTATGTGTTTTTTTCTCTTTTATTCTTTTTTTCCACTATCCTGAAAACTACTTGGTACAGTGCTTACTTTCAACCAGCAGAAATACTTCACCCTGGAAATGCAGACAGCCCGATGCGTGTTTCTCATTGGACCCTTTTACATCACCCACTGCAGTGCTTTGAGCCCTGACTCAAACTTTTAGCATAGAGCCTGAAACCACAAAGCCTCCAGGCACAGCAGGATCAACATAAGAGGACATTTCTGCATTTTGTCACCCTGTAAGCACATTACATTATAAATGAGGAATCAGCCATATAACGAGTTTGACAGTCTGTTGTTAAATTAGGCAATATAAATTCTAGCTGTGTTTTTGGCACATCCCAGAAAGTACTGTTGAAAATTCATGGCTATGAAAGTCCACTGTCTCTTCTACATACACCCTATAAAATATAAGATAATTCGTCTATAGGGAGTTTCATATATTTTAATAACCAAGGTCTACTCAAGACACACATTTTATTATCTATTGTGTTTTTAGTAGTTACTACTTGAAAGAAATTGGAAAACTCTTCTTCCTTCATTTTAATTAAGAAGCTCAAGACCCTACAATTGAATTTGCTTTGTGCTAAGCATGGTGCATATACATTGTAAAAGACTGTCCATACTCCAAACAGTTAAAATCTGCATAGACAAACTGTCTGAGGGAATGCTGGCATCCCCATTTTACAGATACTGAACAGGGGCACAAATTGCTTGCCCACCATCTCTTGTGCCAACCAGGCACAGCAGAAGTGCTCTGCTCACACTCCTCTACTGGCCTCATGACATACACATACTCTTAGGACCCCTGTATCGGGATGTATACAACCTGCTCTGTAGTCTCTGCACTACTTACAGACTCTCCTGTGCTAGAGTAATATTCAAATAGCCAGTTCAACCAGCTTGTGGCCCATCTGCATTACCACAGCAACAAAACAGGGCAGAAGATCTAGCCTTCAGTGTTTAAAAGGGTATGTTTTAAACTAGCAACACAAAAATCTTAGCCCCTCTCTCTCATCTTTCAATGTAGTTAAGAACTTTAATTCAGTGGACTACAGTTATTCAGAAGTGGATGTGCTATAATCTGAATCAGAAACTCCTTTATTATTTGGACTAGGTATATGCAGAACTCTTCTTTAACAGACTAAGCTTTAAAAAAATCCACTGTGTTGTTGCGTTTAGCAGAGCTCGCTGAAGCTAGCTATCATTTCTCTTTCATTTTGCTTCCTTTCAATAGACTATTTAGCATGCAGCAAGCTAAGAAACAACACACTGCAGCAAGCATTAGCTGTGGCTGCACTCTTCTTTTCATCAGGAACACAAACCGCACAATTCTTACAGCAACCAACATGAAAAGCCTTGAGTTAAATCCCTTATTTATTTAGTGTACTATAAAGTCCCTACTCTCTCATATTACCATTCTGATCAATCAGGTATGTGAGGTTTTCCAGGCAACAGGTGTTTTTTGAAACAAAATACAACCTTCCCTTCAGCTCATTATGTGAAAGAGACAGCAGCTGCAGGCATAATGCTTAGGACACATGGTCTATAAGACACGCAGAAGAAAAACACCCCTTGTTCTACTTGTTAAGGTAAAGCACAGATGTTATTGCAGCACTAAGTAGAAGCATAAGGCAACCATGGCCTGTGTGGCATGTTGTAAATTTAGATTCTAAAATTTCAGAATAACTTAATAGGGAGTAAATGTAATCACTAATTTCTTTAATGGGAACTTGCTAATGTATCACCCTTTGCTTCTGAAGAAATAGCCATTATTACTTTTTTTTTATTTATTATTTATTACAGTGGCACCCATACAATGCTAGCACTCAGGGAAATTAAATCCATTTACATTTAAGTATTCTTTCAACTGACCAAATTGTCTATGTCAAACGGTAACCAGAATAGGGTAGACTTAATCATTCATCTGAACCCAATGACTAGATTTGCAGTTCTGTAGAAGGGATTTAGTTCACAAAACTGCTGGATTTTTTTGTATGTTCATTTGTTTGGTCTGATGCAATACTACATCTGACCATTTTTAAGCAATGCTGAAGAGGCTTCCTTTCATGGAGGATTACAGTACTGTGATTTAGTTTTCACTCACTGTGGGCACACAGGCAGTCACCATAAACCAGCTGATGTGCAGTAGAGCCCCATCTCTTTTGACCCACCCTGTAGTAAACTGTTCCCATGTCCTAAAGCCATTTAACTTAGTTAAGTTTTATGTTGCTGTGCATCACCACAGCTTCTGAGTGCCTTCCATGTAAAATCACTCACCAACAGTCCTCCCTTTCATGATCAAGCCTGTAAGGGAACAGGTTTTTGTTTTTGATTATTTTCCAGATTATCGATTCCCTCCATACACGTACTTTTCTTTGGCAGGCAGAGGTTTAAGGATAGAGCTAAACATTGTGTTGTAAGTGTTGTCATTATGGTGGAAAGGTTTTCCCAAAGAGAAAGGCCCTACAGTATTTCTTAAAAATACTCAGACTCTGAATTTCCCTGACCTCCTGGTTCCCTCTAATTTTCTATGTCTCTGACTGAGAACATCTTACCTTTTGGACTATTATGTCTAAAATTATATAGGAAACACAGCTGAAAGCACAACCTCAGAACTCCTATCCCTTGAGCAGACTGTCTTAGTGCATTTTAGATGTGATATGCTTGGACACACGAGCAGATAAAACATGTACCCTGTCTTTGCAGCCTAAGTGCATGCATTTCTGTCTGCAGGGTTTAGGAATATGGAACAGCAGCTGTGATTAATTAATGTATATGGGGAAAAGGCAAGATCACATAGACTTATTGAGATGTGTGAAAATCCTGAGACTCCTTCAATCCAAATCCCATTTACTGGAAAGCACTTTACTAATTCTGGGAGATGAGGCTCCTATCTGCACATGGCTTTATGGCACTGCCAGAACTGATACACTGTCATTAGATATTTTCAGATGGATTTACCCTTTGCCCCTCTACCTCAAAAAAATAATGTTAAAAAAGGTAAGATTAAACAAAAGCATCCTGAAGGCAAGACAGTATAGAAGTATCGCTCTGTAGAGTGGCTTCATTTACTCTGAACTGACTTCAACTTTATAAAAAATTTCTCATTGCAAGATTTATTGCAAGAAAGAGAAAAGGAGGAGGAAGAAAAAACATGAATACAAGAGAGAGAGAAACAGATGACAACTAGCCTGAATTGAATAAATTTCAAATAAGATAGGTCATGAGTTATAAAAATAAAAATATGCAAGGATACAAATTTTCAAAAATAATAAAAAAAAAACTATAAATTACTTTAAACCAAATTGTGCAAATTAATGCTCTGTGTAACTCCATGATTTTATTGTTTCCTGTTACCTTTCTGATGATCTCCTACTTATCAAAAGTTGTCTTTAATTAGGCCAAAGTGTACACGTGTGCTCAACTCAACGCCAGAATGGACTATTTACATTGTTCACTGTTTAGAATCTCCATGAGTTTCAGAAGCAGAAGGGCCTTAAGTCTTCTGAAGGACAGACTTCATCATCCTATGTGTTCATGAAGCCAGTACTACTAGTGCTCTGTAGCTACATTTGACTGAGGCCTTCAAGCATTGCTGCCATGCTACTGGAAAGGTAAAACAACTGCAAAGATTCCCCTCCTGTACAATTAAAGCAGGTAGAGAAGACCCAAAGGTATTTTGAGACAGCTACAGTTATACTGGATGAGTGAAAATAGGTAGATATACTCACATGTGTCTTCACATCACCTTCTAGAGTTCTGCTATTCCTGAGAAATTCGGCCACACTCCCATTCAACAGTCTATCAAAGGCTTCAACATATGGTGCTACACCTATGAGAGACAGCATTTCATTACAGCTGGTTCATAAAAGGTTGTAACTTACAGCACTGTCCTTTGCAGTCTAAGGGAAAGATATTGCAGATATAAGGGGGACATGTTTAAATTTAATATATTTCTGTCCCTAATAATTTGTAAAATCAGTGAAAACGAACAAATAATGGGAATTTCCAGAACAACAGATACAATAAAGCGGCAAGCAGAATCAAGCAAGCAGTGTGAAGATGTTAACTGTATATTGTATGTGGCTAGCCTCTTCTGTACTAAGATAACTGGTTCCAAAAATAAACACTCTCCACTACTTGCATAATAAACATGATTTCGATCTTTTTCATTAATGAAGTGCTATTAATGTACATAAAATAAACGACATCTTTATAAAAATAATCTTTATCTTTAGGGGGGCTGTTAGGAAGGCTTAGGCGGAGATGGAACTGGGACTAGCGACCTCGATCAATGACAACAAGAAGTCCATGTAAAAAGATGTGAGCACTGGGGTCCCCCAGGGCTCAGTCCTCAGGTCTGCACCGTTCAACATCTTCATCAGCAACTTGGACGAGGGGGTGAAAAGCACCTTGTTCAATTTCGCAGATGATACTAAAATGTGGGGAGAAGTGGGCACACTGGAGGAGAGGGACAGGCTGCAACTAGATCTGGACAGGTTACAGAAGTGGACAGATGAGAACAGGATGGGATTCAAAACTGACAAGTGCAAGGTGCTGCTCCTGGGGAAGAAGAATCAGCAGCATACCTACAGGCTGGGGAACTCCCTTCTCATCAGTGCAGAGGCAGAAAAAGATCTTGGAGTCATTATTGATTCCAAAATGAACATGGG